TGAAAGATACTATAATGACATACATATAAAAAATTAATGTTTGGATCATGTTAGATATATGTAAATCTTTTATATTATTCTTATTTAATTGATTCTCCAATAGTTTAGTGTTGTATTTCGAGCATTTTTTTGTTAACACATCATTTAACCTTTCTAATGCCATTTAAGAGTATATTTGATAAGTGCACACAACTTTGTTTGCCATGTAAATTTAGCATTTATTGGAAGGGAGACTTAGCAGAGAGAATTTAAGATTTGGTGAGTCAAACATTTTTATATATCATAGATATATAGGTATATATTTCCCTCAATCACATCCTTTTATCTTTCCTGTCACATCTTTCATTTTGAAATATTTGGAAAGTACTATTTGACGGATGATGACCATCACGCAAAGAACTGAAAAAGGGAAGGGCTTTTTCAGAAAATCACTAATTCCTAAAGTTCATCAATTTTTAAAATATATAAAAAAAATCATTTATATTCATTTACGATGTGATTTGCCTCGTTTTTCGTGCGTCGACGGGAAACTCGGGCGCTCCCCGCTCAAGCAAAAGATCTCCTCTCTGCTCGCTCACTGCTACTTGCTGTAACTGTTGCAGCAAATTAACTCGCAGCTTTAATAGTATTATAACTATTAAATTCCTTAAATATATTATAAAACCCAAAATTAAAGCCGAGAAAGAAAAAGCAAGGAGATGGCTATGAAGCTAGTTGTACTGTTTGCTCCAGGCCTCGACGTCACGCCCTCTGCACTCCATTATTTTCTTAGTGATTTAAAAAGTAATTTAAAATTTTGCAAATGAACCTTTTTCCTGCCAAACAAAGAAAATGCTCCTAACCAAACTCTGCTTATGAATCTAAATAAATCATTAGAATTCTATTAAAAGTTATGAGGCACTATATATAAATAAATTGAACATTATTATTCATTAATATTAGCGTACATTTGTTTATCTCTTTTTATATTGTTTTTACTTGACCTTATTGATGGTTGTTTATAATGTGTAATTTCTTTATTGTATTATATATGTACTTTAAAATTACTCGTACTTTTCTTAAGAAGTGGCCAGCAAGACAGTTGCTAATCTCCCGTGATAGATCCTTTCTGGGCTTGTGTTTTGACTATGCATGAAGCTTGAAGGCGAAGATCGAACAATGATGAAAAACTAAAAAAATTTGAAAAATATCATTCCATTGACTTTTAGTTTAAACATCTTTTTTTTGAATGGTTTTTTGTAATATTTTAATGAGTCAATCTTTAGAATAAAATCAATTAAGTTTATTCTTTTTATAGATTTTTGATAGAAAATTTTTCACGGCTTTCACTCTTTACATTTTTATTAACCTTGTCGGAACAACACATCTGGTTGGCATGTCCTTACGTCAGGTATTTTATTGTCGTTGCCTCGACGAAGGTAACCGCCGAAACTTGCTTGTTTAATGACTTGTGTCGTACCACTTACGGAAGTTGTCGCTTTGGGGCAAAAAATCACCTCCATAGCTTCTTTGAGAGTGGATTTTTGGAGATTTCTTGAAGGAGGGAAACTTTGTTTGCTCGTACCGGAGAAGAGACTAAAATCAAGAGATAGATCTTCGGAATGCTCGTTTCGAGAGGAGAGACTAGGGGAGCTATTTTTATTTTTAATACACTCCCATGAGGAGAGACTTAAAACAAAACGGAGAGAAGTAATTGAATCATGAGGAGACAGAGAGAGATTATTATATTTTCTTTCTTCCTCTAATTTTATATTTTTGTTTTCTTCTATAATAAAAAGTAAACAATGTGAGAGAGTGTTTTTATCTTTTTTTTTTGTCCTCAAATAAGTGACTGCTTTTGGAATATGAGAGTTTTTTCCTCTCTTTTTGTCTTTTCTTATATTTTTCTTTTTTAATTTTATGTCCTCTATCTTCTTTTTTTTCTTCTTTGAATCACACCCAAGAAATAATAAGTAAGGAGATAAAGATAAAAAGAGATGAGTGATTAAAAAGAATAATAATTTGTCCAATCTTTATTCATGAAATCATCTTCTTTTTTTATAGGGAAGATGATACAATATGATGATGATGCATTTTTTCCACACTTTAATGAAGAATGTACTAAGTTATTTCTAATATTTCTCTTGTATTGGTTTATTGTTCAGATGTTCTCTGGCTCTATCGGTTAAGCTTAATTGGATTTGAGTCGGAAGGATCAGCTTGGTCAGCTAAGCTTGATCGACATGAGTTGAATTGCTGATCCAATCTGGTCGTTGATCCATAATAATTGATGAACCAGAGGCCTCTAAATGTCTCTAGGATGATTAGAGATGTTAAGGGACCAGATCTTCCCTCAGATAGCTTTCTCATAATAATTGGTTCAGATATCTTTTTATCTTGTTTCTGACTGAATGGTTTTGGCTCAGATCTTTGGTCGTCTTTTTGTCCTCCTTGTGGCTCGGTCTACTTCGCCTTTGTTGACTTTGGCTAGGATAAATTCGCTTAGTCAAACAAGTAGGCCACACGGTCTTTTGTCGATGGGTCCCCCTTTGTCATACCTTTTTCTTCTGGACTGTTAGATCTCGTCAAGATATCAACACAAACACTTTTTTATGCACAAAAATGAATTTTAGAAGTTTTATCAACAAAGGTAACTTCTTGTGCTCAATAAAAAAGTTTTGAATTGTCATCATATTTTTTTTATGCTCACCTTTTACATGGAGACTAACTTTTTATTAAAACTTTTATATATATTAGGTGAATTTAATTTTTATTCACTCATTTTATATTAAGGAATAGAGCGTGAGAGGAGTGTGAAAATGTAGAGGGAGAAAATAGTGGAGATATAATTTCTAAAATGAACAACAAAACAATGTAGAGGGGATGCCTCTCTACAATAAATGATTCCCCTATTTATAAAGGATTTTGTAGAATAATGATATTGTGTTTTCTCCCCCATCTAGAGAAGGTTTACATCCTAAATTTTATGTATTTTATAAATGATTATTCATCATTTTGTCATTTTTCAGCGTGGTCAACCCAGCTTGGTTGACTGGGCTTGGCCAACTTAGCTAGATTAATTATCTTGTTCGATGGGGCTTGATCCTTCACTTAATTGACTTGGCTCGATTAATTATTCTGGTGAGAAGTCATTTGGTTTCTAATGGGTGATTGATGAAGCTCTATAGGAACAACTCTTCTATTGGGTAAACTTTTGTATAGTTGACTTCTTGAACACCATCATGACTAATTTACGAGTAAATGACTTTTATTAGGATTACTTAGTCATTTTCTTATAAACTTTTGTACACAGTTCAGCTTTGACTTAGTTGACTTTGCTTAGGCTTGGTGGGTCTCATGATCTTTTTGCTAGAGATCTACCTCCATCGTATCCATCTCATGTGGACCTTTAGGTCTTTATTAGATTAATGCAGACACATTTTTTATGTATATATATATATATATATATACCTAACACCTAATGCTCAATTTTTACATATACGTAATTTTATGTGCGCATGAAAAAAGTATAATGATTTTTTTTTCCTAATGATTTTTTTATGGGATATGATACATTTGGGTGCAGAATGTACAAAACAAAATTTACGTTAAGATATAAATATATAAGAAATAGGTGGTAATATGTAAATGCCGACAGTGTTCATATTTAAACGAAAATCTGAAACGTAGCATATAATCGCCCAAGATTGCACGCATGGCCTCATTTTCCCCTCTCTCTCTCTCTCTCTCTCTCTCTCTCTCTCTCTCTGTCTCTCTCTCTTTCTTGGTACTAATCATACGATTAGCATTCAGTGACGTACTCAAAATCTAAATCCTATCACTAAATCCACGCCCACTCTCTCTCTCTCATAATTAATCTGCAATATCTATCTTTTTAATTTACCAACATGCCACCTCAAGTCTGCAGTTTCGCACTCGCGTTAGGCCCCACGTGCGTCGTCGTTGCCGCAGCAGTTAGTGACGCCGGCCCCGCTCTTTACATGTTGAACTCGCTGATTTTTTTTTTTTGGGTGTGTCAGCTCTTTTATTATTATTATTATTTTAAATTTTACTCACATTACAATGATATATTTATTTGTATATAATTTTAAGCATGTCTTAACAATTTGAGAACCAAACTCAAATTCAATTAACTAAAATAAAATAACCTACATCATTTGCAAGTTGCATCCAATTTATAGGAGGCAGATAAAAAGATTATTATAGATATGATTATTTAAAATAAAAAAATAATATTATTAAACCAACAAATTTCATAAATAATCAGAAAAAATAAGCCTAAAAATTAAAAAGGAATGCTTATAAATCAATATTAGTTACCTAAAAGGATGTATTAAGACATTGACCCTCAAGTTAAAATAATAAGAGATTTTTTCATACATAGCACTCAATTCTTATGTATTTACTTATCTCACACCAAAATCTTAATTTTTTCACAAGTTAAGCACCCTAAGAGAAATCATAATTCACCTTTTCATACATATTTTCAAATATAGGAAAAGATGCTAAACTTGTAAAACTTAAAGTTAAATGCATATGATTTAGTTGTTATGTATGTAAATTTCCCAAAATAATAAATGTTTAAAGAAACCTTAACCAAACAATAAGAACATAAAAGGTGAAAAGAAAAAAAGCAACATGGTCTTTTATGAAATCAAAGAATGTTGTATGTACAAAAAAAAATAGAATCAATGAGATAAAAAGATATAAGATATTCACATACATAACACAATTAATTTTGTATTGGCAAATCTAATATATATTTTGCTTCTCTATCTTATGTCCAACATGATATTTGATTACATGCATAATATTTAAATGCCTATTCTATATGTAAATATCAAATTTTAGGTATTCGATATAAATATATTCTTCTTTTCTACTAATTTAGTTAGATTGCTAAAAGGATTTAAACTTATCCCTAACTATGTGATTAAATATTCTGTAAGGCTTTTTTCTTTAAATATCTAAAAAAAAAACACGAGCATTAATTGGGGCAGTATCATTGAATCCGAACAGATTCAACCGGGCCAGATGGCGGGCTGCCCGCCCGCTGCCGACGCCCACGGGCAACTTCCGGTTACTTGCAGAAAGAATGCAAAGTACTCCCCCTCTGTCCAAAAATAATTTGCTTCTCTCTCTCTCTCTCTCTGCTGTTCACAATCATGATAACCTTAGACCTACCTTTCTTTCTCTCTTTCTCTTCACTGTTTCCCCGTTCCCTCCCCCTTCTCCTCCTAGAAAAAGAAAAGAGAAATTAGAGAGAGAGAGAGAGAGAGAGAGCTAGTGGTATGTCGTCGAGAGCTGAGGAGTTCGCCGGCGCCGACAGTTTATTATACCACGTCCCACAACATAGCCGAAGGGAGAAGCTCCGGTTCCCAACGGATGAGTCGCCGGCTTCCGCCGCCTCATTACTTCCTCTCCTTTACCAATCGAACCCCACCTGCCTTCCATCCTCGTACTACAGCCATAACTTTGATGAGTGCGGGCCGCACCAGATCCAGCCGCAGGGATTCTCACTTTCGCTCTCCCCAGCTACGGTTGGCCCTCTCGGTCCGTTCACCGGCTAACCCGCCGTGCCGGACCCGGCAGGCTCTGTTTGAACCGGTCCGGCTTTGTTCAGCCTGCCCGGCAGTTGTTGGAGGAGATTTGTCGGCTTGGCCGGGGTGAGCTCGCCGGCGTCGGGGACCGAGATCTGATGGAGGATATAACTATGGAGAACGAGGTGGGCCAGAGGGTTGGAGGTTTCGAGGACGACCAGTGGAAGAAGCTCAAGCTTGTTTCCATGCTTCATGAGGTTTCTCCCGCTCTCTTTATCTCTCCCTCTTACTGTCAGCTACAAAATTTTTAGCCTTCTTTTTTTCCAAAAAAGAGTGGATAAGGAAATGAGGAATTATACTTCTTTCATGTCATGGCTACATTTTGTATCTTCCTTACGGAATCTTATTTGCTACCTGATGATTATTATACATATGTTTATATATTTGCTAATCATCTTTAGTATTACATTTTGGAAGAACATTAGGATTAATGACTGCGGGTTTGCGTGTCTACATCTTTTATCACTAGTTCTAATTATAAGAGCACAGTAAATGAAACTTTTTGTCTGTGGTTGGCTTTTGTTGTAGAATCAATGAGAGAGATCATCCTGAGAGATGGTGCTTTACTACCACTGGATTTAATGCTTTTTTATGCCAATGTATTTATTGATTTTCAGATGTCCAACCTATCCATCTATCTATGTATGTATTTTTACACAGATGCCATTGTTTAAACCCTAATTTTAGTTGCTCTTGCTTGGAAATAGTTAGCATTTCTACCATACATCACTTTTTAATGGATAATATATGCTTTGATATGCGTGATGAGGCCATTAAAGCTAAATAAATTCTCTCCTTCCTCCCTCTCTCCGACGAAAATGCCATCTTCTTTTTCTGTTTTTTTTGAATGTCAAATTGAGAACTTTTTTTTTTAAATGCCCAGCTCCAGTGACATGACATTGTTCCTTTTCTTTTATTTGAGGTATTAAAGAAATAACACGCGTTAGATTGAATTTGGTCTCTCCCTGCAGAATCTTCTTACTGTTGAACGATGCAAGTACTTAATGGTTTTTTCCCCCTACTTTCATTCCGAAATTTTTAGTGTTACATATTTTTATATATTTATTTTTAAAGATTTTCCAACCCATTAACCGTCTAATCATTGGTCTCACAGTTTTAGTGGTTATTTTTTTTTTATTTTTAATTAAATTTGTTGCATTTTAGGTTATGGGTCAGATCACTGGGCCTGTTTTTAGACTGATTTGTAAAGTCAAATAAATTAGCATCCAGGCTAATTTTAATATTTTAAATGTGCTTGTTTACCCTTATGCTTAGAGCTAACTCTGAGATATCCTCTCGCGGAGTAAAATTATTCTTATACTTTTTTGATTATGTTATATAATTTGGGTGGTGTGTTGCTGCATAAAAAAATATTGCGTTGTGGTTCGTAGTGTTTAAAAGTGTTGAATAAAGCATTGTTTTTGACCTCAAATGATGGTGATAAAGCAACTTACCATGATGGTGATGATGTGCTTGAATAGAGAATTTAAGTAAAAAATAATAGAATAGCATATGGGGGCATAGTGAAAGAATAAATTGGTCCAATTTTATGCAAAGCTGCCCTTGTTTGTTCTTTATTTTAAGAAAGTCGAATGGCAAAGCCCAAAAAGAAAACAAAAATGATGTAGGTAGGATTTAGCTGCAGGATTTTAGCATCAACTTCTAAGATCTTTATCAACGAAGATAGCTTTGCGCGTACTCCCCCAATTGCTTTCATTATTGCTTGAAAAGTTTCTATTTTGTCACTTTTCCTATTTTCCAAGATTATTGAGTGTGGTACTATATATTTTTCTTTTTTCCCTCAACTTTTCAGATCCATAGAAGATACAGATTATACTATCAGCAGGTGGAAACTATTATCACATCATTTGAAACGGTAGCAGGCTTAAACACTGCTGCTCCATATGTTTCTTTAGCTCTGAAGTCCATGTCCAAGAACTTTAGAAGTTTAAAGAGTATCATATCTGATCACCTTAATAACCTTGACATGATTGATGCAAAACAAAGACTTGGTAAAGGGGAATTTACTGGTTTTGGCCTCACAGCTACTGGTGATCATGCATTTTCACAAAGAAGGAATTCATCTCTTACTTTCGGGCAGCCACAAGTTTGGAGGCCTCAGAGAGGGCTACCCGAACGTGCAGTTTCAGTGCTTAGGGCTTGGCTTTTTGAACATTTCTTGCATCCGTGAGTGATAAAGCTAAACTCTTTTGAACTTATTTTTATGATATTTTCATTATTGACCTCAGATTTTCAAAGTTAAGATACTGTCATTTTTCTTAATTTGACTGTATATACATTTGGATGGGCTTGCAATATCTTTTTGTTTTTGTTTTAATACCTATTACACTTTGATAGATGAGTTTGTTAAGGTTTGAGACTATTGGTTATTATTCCATGTCTAATAATAGAATGAAAAGAATGGCCATTGGGATGTAGAAGATAATAAGATATATCTGGGAGCATTATAATATATATGACCATAGTCACGAGTTACCTTGTGAATTAACAATTTAATCCGATATGTCGTTGTATTATCGTTAATTTTGTCATACATTTAACTCACATTTACAACCTATATGCATAGAGAATCACAAAATATTGTGTTTATTTTCTTTTATTTAATTTATTGGTTTTTAGTTACGAGATATAAAACAAATGTTTTCATAAATCTATATATACAAAATAAAAATTTCAAACATTAATAGCTTTATGAATTAATTGAAATATCACAAATCTATGATTTTAAATACAAATATGCGTTTCTATGATATTGCTTATGACATCATATATATTTCAAATGAGTCAACCAAGATGAAAAGAATAATAATTTTAAAATACCATTGCAATACTCCTAAATTCCATTGTTATTTTCATAGAAATGATTTTAAATGATTAATTATTTTTATTATATCCTCACTGACCATTATTCTTTGACTATAATTGAAACTATTTTTATCTCCTAATTGACTTGGGATGAGTCTCTTGCTTTTTCAAATTTTGAAATCTTCGGATACTCTTGGTTTAAGTTTTTCTTGGCTCAGTGAAATGTGTAGCTACTTTAACAAGTCTTTGGATATTTTAAAACATTGGTGTGTATGATTCCCTATCTTGATCATATGCTTGATGTGATTTGTGGATTTATGGGCTATGATTCCTTTTAACATCGGTGAACAAATATTGTTGTTGTTGCTTTTGTCCATATATATATTTCTTTAACTTGCTCTTCTGCACATAACAAGTTGAATTAGCTGATTTGATCTTATTCATTGCAGGTATCCTACTGATACAGACAAGCAAATGCTAGCTAAGCAAACAGGTTTGACAAGAAATCAGGTTATAAAACTTTCTTTCAAATTAATTTTAAACAATTTAATGATTATTCGATAGTTCATGTATTACTGAACCTTGATGCCATTTTTCGTAAAACTTTGTAATAATCATTAATAAATGGTCTGACCATCTAAAACCATTTTTGCCCTAATATGAGTTGGCGTATTTATTACTTCAAAGTAAGCGATGAAATTGATTTTTTTTTTTTTTTTTCAGGTTTCCAACTGGTTCATAAATGCAAGGGTAAGACTATGGAAACCCATGGTGGAAGAAATACACAACCTTGAAATGCATCAATTACAGAAATCAGTGGCAGAAACAGATCCTCACAACGTTCGGAACTCGAACTTGCAAGCTTCGCATCCATCGTCATCATCTGCAGCAGCAGCAACAACTTCATCGAGCATTAATCGACCCCCCATTCAAGAAAACAATTTCATGCTACGAAACAACCAAAATCGATCTTACCGTTCTTCGAACATCGAACTTCCTCACATGGAAGAACCCTACAAATTCGTATTCGATGATGCTTTCGCCATCCATGCTCAGTCGCCCATGGGGGTTCAAATGGGAGGAAATTCTGTTGTTTCTCTCACTCTCGGATTATCAGAACCGCTGTCCATGAATGTAGCTCGACGATTTGGCTTAGAAGAGTGCAGCAATGCTTATGATTTGCACTATGGGAAGGAAATTGGTGCACATATGCTTCATGACTTTGTTGGATGATTTTGATCTCAAGATCAGTGAGTTCTACTTCATAATTAATGATAGACATTTTCATTACTAGTCTTAAATATTAATTAATTTTATATGATGATATATAACTTCATATTTCTGGCCTGCTACTAAATAAGAGTGATGCTTCTTGTTAATTAAGGCAGCCCGCTTGTACTCTCGATCGTCAGTTCTAGGCAGAGGCTGTATTTTTCACATCATTTTTGGCCTAGTAATGCCATTCATCCCTTATCTGATAATTTCATTTGTGCTTCATATTTATAATATTAATTTCATGCCAATTTAAGTACCAAAATAAGAAATCTATATAATTTTGATGGTATGGCCGCCCATATAATATTTGTGTTCATGTTTCTAAAAGCTAGTGATATTTGTGCGGCCATTTTTGGGGACTAGTCGGTTTTTGAGTCTCATTATGATATATATTTAAGTAGACACATAATATTATGCAATATAAAATATGTATGGTAATTTTAATAAAGTATGTTTGGGAATTAAAAAGTCCTCTAATTTGACTTAAAACTCTTATAATATTATAATTTCAGGGTTAAGATGAAAAAAATTTGATCAAATTTTAAGTTTAGTGTTAAGAAAATGAGTTCACACAAAAATGAATTTCGTTGGCCCATCGGGTTATTTTTTAGTCTCCATTTTAGGGTTCTCCAAGTAAATATATATTATTTTCTGATATAAAAACATGAGACGAATTGATTTTTTGTTTTAACAAGATATTTTGTAGGATAGAGTGATGACTTATAACAATTTTAAGTAATTGTTAGGCATTGTCATAAATTTTTGTGCGGTTTTAGCAATATTAAGATGCACAAAAACCCAAAAAAAAATACAAATAAATTTTTGCGGTACTATGGCACTTATAATTAGTGTGAACTTATTTGAATGGTGAACGTGGCTTGGGGTGGTGATAAAGGCTAAGTCAGCATATCTATATAAATATATTTGTATGTATAGAATTGTCAAACTAATCGTTTTGATCGCCGGTAATAGAGACGTTTGGATAGAGCTGATTACGGCGTTTTCATGTTATTGGCTATCAAGAAGATATCGGAAATTTTGTGCATAATATATTGAGTAGAAAAGATAAAAGGATGCGAACAATAATTTAATGGGCTGAAATGAAATGCATGAACTGTGAACTGGGCCATAGAATAATTGGCTTTCTTGGAAATGACATTCGTGAGGTGATGTAAGTGAGTTTTCGGATTTGATTAGTGGAGTTTATACATTTTTTTAATTATTTTTTTACTCTTTTGCTTGTCCTTTTTCTACTGGAGATGATATCATAAATTAATGCATGCTTTTTTTTTTATAGTTCTTAAATTAAAATATTTTTGTTGGATGAATGCACGCTGATCAGAATCTTCATCTTATGCTGTTCTTAATTAAAATAAAATGCTATTGGGAGTTTTTTTATTTTTTACTCTCACAATCTCTCTCTGCCGACTGTATACGACGAATTAAGTTTTTATAAATTTATTCCATATTAAATTAAATTATCTATTTTAACTTTATAGTATGAGTTTAAAAAAATTATTTTTTTGTCTAATTTACTTGCGATAGATGTATTATGTAAATATTTAATTGAATCCGGATCATATTAATTTAAATAAATTTGGATTATTTTAAAACTTGATACGCCACCACCAAAATTTTATCATCCAACATGAATCTCAATGCATGACACGAATCTTGAGATAATTTTTGAATCAAGAAATATTCAAGTCTTAATAAAAAGTTATCCAGAGCTCCGATTTCAGCAAACTTATAGTCAAACTGACCGGTTCGAGGAGACAAACCTAATCATATAAAAATTAGCTCAATCCAAATTAAATCAAGCCAGATCAAGTCCTTAAACCACATTTAAAAGATTTATAAATACATTTGGAAAGTCAAACGACTATCAAATATAACAAGTTTATACCCAAACTGAGCGGCTCGATAAGAAGAATCCAACGAGCCCAAAATCACTCAATTCTAACATTATTAAGGCACTCAAATGTCCATTAAACGTTGCATGATCAAGGGAAGCTCTCCGGACCGTCCGATCAAAATTGTTCATATTCATGCATTAATTGCACCCAGAAAACTATAAATAGAGCCTCATCCCTCTCATGAAGGGGAGGAAGTCTAGAGAGAGCCTGAGGTCTTGGGAGAAGCTGCAACTCAGCACCACCGCCGATTGTCGTCGACCACAACCGACCTCCGTCGTCGACCACCGTCTTAGCTCAAAGAGGTACAACGGTTGAATGGTCGTATAGTCGCTTTATCCCGCTTCTTAGCTCGTTCTAGGGATAAGTATCTGTCATTCTTCAAGATACTCAAAGGTGCTCGAAACTCCGGTTTTCAATGGATAGATGGTTCTCAGAGTGCTTTTGAGCAACTCAAAGCATATTTGGTTTCACCACCCCTCCTCTCAAAGCCGATCTAAGGAGAGATGTTATATATCTATTTGGCTATTTCACCTCATACAATAAGCTCTGTTCTTGTCAAAATAAGAAACTCAGTCAAGAAACTAGTATATTATGTTAGCAAAATTCTCTCTGATACATAAAGTCGTTATCCGATGGCAGACAAGACTGCGCTAGCCCTGGTATTCTCAGCAAGGAGACTTCGTTCGTACTTCCAGACTCACAGTATTAGTGTCTACGCACAACTCCCTTTGAAGGCTATTCTACAAAAACCAGAAGCATCAGGAAGATTAGTTAAATGGTTGGTGGATGGTGGTTGGATTTGGGAGTTTTTCCCATCCACTATTTACCACGACTGAACATCAAATCACAGGTGTTAGCCGACTTTATGGTAGAATGTACAGTGCATATCTCTGATGAACCACCCTCTTCTCTTCCACGATCACCTCAATGGACATTATATGTAGACAGAGCATCCGGAAACTCAGGAGCTGGTGCAGGAATACTACTCATCTTCAAAAAAAAGTCATTTTGGAGTACAGACTTCGTTTAAAATTTCAAGCCACCAATAATGTTGTCGAATATGAAACATTTGTCGTTGGATTAAACCTTGTCATCAACTGTGAAGTACAAAACATGATTATTTACATTGATTCTCAACTCGTTGCATCCCTAGTACAAGGAGAATTCGACGCTCATAACTCACAACTGGTTCAGTATCTCAGTTTGGTAAAAACACTTCTTGCCCAAATTGAAACATGCCAGCTCATTCACATACTTCGGGAGTATAACACCCGAGTTGATGCCCTCTCTAAGCTTGCAACTTCAACAACTGGAGATCTCTATAAAAGAAGGTATATTGAAGAAGTACATTTTCCTAGCATCCATGGCCCATGGGTGATTGGGTGATACAATGACCCAGGGGAGCCATCTTGGATGGATCCCATCATCTCCTTCCTCCGAGATGGAATATTGTTAGATGATGCTACTACATCAATTCGCATCTGACGCATGACTTCCAACTTCATACTTATAGGGGATGAACTGTATAAGAAGGCATTTGTAGGTCCATATCTCAAGTGTCTTCCTCCATCTGAAGCTGATTACGCTCTACGAGAAGTTCATTCTGGAATATGTGAGGAGCATCTTGGTGGCAGGGCACTTGCTCTTAAAATAATGAGGCACGACTTCTACTAGCCCACGATCAAACAAGATGCATTAGAGTTTGTGCAAAAATGCAAGAATTGCCAATTACACTCCAATCTCATGCATGCACCGCAAGTATAACTCACATCTTTTCTGAGTCATTAGCCTTTCACCCAATGAGGGGTAGATATAATGGGGTCATTTTCGATAACTACTGGACAATGAAAATTGATCATCTTAGCTGTCGACTACTTCACCAAATGGGTAGAAGCAGAGCCCCTTGCCAAGATCACTGAGGTTAGTGCCAAATAGTTTGTCTGGAAAAACTTCATCTGTCGTTTTGGGCTTCTTGCGAAGATTATCATTGATAATGAGACTCAATTTACTGGTAGGGTCTTTACATCATTCTTCAAGGATCTTCACATTCAGTTTGTGCACACTGCTGTGGTGCATCCCCAAAAGAATGAACAGACAGAGGTGACAAATTGAACCGTGCTCAAGGGGTTGAAGACTCGTCTCGAGAAGGCTGGGGGCAGTGGGTAGAAGAGCTGCATAATGTCCTCTATGCATATCGCACCACCGCACGAACTCCTACCAGGGAAACCCCATATAACTTGTGTTTTGGCACCGAGGCTGTCATCTTCGTTGATATCAGAGTTCCAAACCCCCGAGTCAAGACTTTCGACTCAGATAACAATGATGAAAAGCTCCGAAAACAGTTGGATTTTCTCCCAGAAATACGCGATGTGACCCACCTCAGAGCTGCTTCCTACAGCCAAAGAATTGCTCGCCACTTCAACCGAAGAGTAAAGCCTCAACCTATCTCCATTGGTGACCTGGTTTTGCGTAGTATCGAAGCCACTGGTCATGGTCCCCAATACAACAAATTATCCCATCTCTGGGAAGGCCCATACATCGTGGCTGCCATGATCAAGCCCGAAACCTTCAGACTTCTCAAAGACTCAGATTGGAAAAATCTTGCCCCGGACTTGAAATGCTGAGAATCTTCGGAAATACTACCAGTAGCACTTCTGTTATATCATCTATGTCATATTGCATACAATGTCAATGTATCTCAGACTTATTAAATAGTATTTACTTGTTTTCTTCTACAAAAAAAAATATATCTTTAGAATGTGTAACGGCTCATTCACGAGTCACTTTAATACACAACTCTGGTTGTATCTTACTTAGAGCACAATCGATCCCAGGGGGATTTGATCTAACATCTTCCAAATGGGTTAACATCACCGAGTTTTTACTTCAATAAATAACCCTGGATAGGTTAACTGTCCTTGGTGGGCTACATATGATCCCTTCCACACAGGTTCATAAGTGAGCAATGCTCCAGCAAACAACCTCGGATGGGTTAATAAGTCCTTGGTGGACTTTCGTGGGATCCTCCAATACATGTTAAACATTACTGAGTAATACTCTGATACATAACCTCAACAAAGTAAAAAGCAGCTGACGATTTATCCCCATGATAACCTTCTTACATGACATTGTACATCCAACACATCAAGCCACTGCGATACTTCATCCAGCGCATCGCTGTGACACACTGTCACAAAACCTCGTTGCACTGCAACGTGTCACCCCGACACACCATCACAATGCATTACCACGCCGCAAGTCACCACGACACATCGCCCCAACTCGTCGTCAGTCGCAACGCATTTCCGCAACACAACACGTCGCTGCCACGTGTCTCCACATTGCAACACGTCGCCGTGGCACAACATGTCGCTACAACGCGCCAGCCCATCGCAACACGTCACTGCAACACGTTGCCCCGTCGTGTCATGCCGCCTTAACGCGTTGTTGTGTAGCGCTACCGCAACGGGTTGCCCTACCGCGTCGTGGAGGCGCGCCGCCGCGTTGCACATCCATAACTTCAT